GGAGGCCACTCAGACCCGAGAAGACGATGCTATGGATTAGTAACTCCAGATCCCTTCTCTTCTGCAGGGGAAAGGGCCAGCAGTGGCTGGGAAGGGCAGGGAGAAGGCCCTGTCTAACCGAGGGCATCAGAAGGCCCCCTTTAACTCAAGGCCATCTCTCCAGCATCTGACTCAGCCTGGCTTTGGCCCTCCACCATCTTAGCGACTCTGTTTCGTTCTAAGTGTGAGGCAGGACAGGTGCTTGGGCTTTGGAATTACACAGAGCTGGGTTTGAATCTTGCCTTTTCACTTCATCATCGTGTGTCACTGGCCACCTTATGTGATGTTGCAGAGCCCCAGGTACCTCGTCAATGAAATGGGGTCCAGGATACGAATTGGAGTTTGTTTAAGGGTTAAATGAGGACAGGTGCTTTAGGTGCCCCGCACGGGGCTGGCACATGATATCTGCTTGGTGAAGATCGAGTCCTCCCAAGCACCAGCCCCTTGCTGAGGACCGTGTCCAAGGCGCCATCTGCCTACCGCAGTTCACATCTCTGGTTTCTCGCTAGCCTGTTCTGGCGCCCTGGTCAGGAGTCCCTGATTTCATTCCCACCCATCTTCTTGCCAAGCACCTAACTTGTCAGTTCTGGTTTCTTGGTCTTCACTTTTGGGACCAAACAATTGCTCCATCTTGGCCCACTTTGGAATCTGTGGACCAGGCTGACTCCTGAGCACTGATTTCCAACCCTGCTGCCTTGGCCTGGGCCATCCTCGGCCCACCTGGGGAATCTGTCTCTGCCCTGGAGCTTCCCTTTCAAGCTTCCACATTGAGGCTCCTCTGGAGAACAGCCTCACGGCATCTAGTGAGGGTGCCTTGCACCTGCCCCCCGCAGGCTCTGCCCGACATCAGGAAGCTCACAGAACCCGGTGGAAGACACATTTCATAAACGCTAGGTGGACCTCAATGAATGTCAGTCCAAGCAAACTGGAGGTCTGCCCATTTGTGACGTCCCCAAGGTCACAGCTCTACAGTCCCCAGCTACAGTAGAGAATTGTCCTCCAGTGCTGTTGGGAGCCCTGACTTGCCACCATCCCAACTCCTCTATCTGTGGGTCCTGGGAACCTGGAATCCAGGCCTCATCTGAGCAGTGACCTTAACCTGCGGCTGCTAGGATGCACTGTAAGTTAGCTCTGTACTTGGGACCACTATGTTAGCTGTTGCTCAGTCCAGTGTACGTCTTTTTGGCTTTGTGCATCCAAAAACATTGTTAGATGAAGCAGCTAGGTAGACACATGTTAAAACAACCTCAGAAGCTGGCACTATTCTTTTTCGTATTAGAGAAAAAAATCCAGATTTTTCTCTGTACCTTTCTCTTTCTTAGACAGTTTTATGTCTTATGCTAATACGGAGGAATGGTGCCTCTCAGACTTTAACAGGCATACAAATCACCAAGGAGGAATGGTCAGACGTAGATTCTGCATCTTTAAGAAGCCCGTAGGTGATGTGAATGCTGCCGATCCTTGGGCCGTGCTCTGAGTAGGAAGATGGTGAGAGATGGTGGCACGTGGAAGCCCCAGCTTATGGTAGTCTGACATGTGCAACTGTCAACTTTACGATGGTGCGAAAGCATTCCGTAGAAATGTACTTTGAATTTTCATCCTTTCCCAGGCTAGCCATGTGCTGTATGGTACCCCTTGGAGATGCTAGGCTGAATCATCTCACATAAAGCCTTTTGTAAGAAAGTGTTGATTACCTCATATAATTTATCGAATACTGTACAGAAGTGTTCTGAGTGTATTTGAGGCAGGAAAGGTTAAGCTGTGATGTTTAGTAGGTTAGATGTACTTTTTTTTCTTTTTTTGTTTTCTGAGACAGGGTCTTGCTCCCTTCACCCAGGCTGGAGTGCAGTGGTGTGATCACAGTTCACTGCAGCCTTGACCTCCTGGACTCTGGTGATTCTCCCACCTCAGCCTCCCAAGTAGCTGGGACTATGGGTGTGTACCACCATGCCCAGTTAATTTTTTGTATTTTTAGTAGAGACAGGGTTTTGCCATGTTGCCCAGGCTGGTCTCAAGCAATCCACCCACCTCAGCCTCCCAGAGTGCTGGGATTACAGGTGTGAGCCAATGTGCCCACCCCAGCCCACCCTTAAAAAAAGAAATACAGACATGGTCTTGCTCTGTTGCCCAGACTGGAATGCAGTGGCATGATCCTAGCTCACTGCAGCCTTGAACTCCTGGGATCAAGTGATCCTTCTGTCTTAGCCTCCTGGGTAGCTGGGACTACAGGTGCAAGCCACCGCGCCTAGCCATATTAGGTGTATTGATGTTGTGTAGATGATGTGCCGTCTGAGTCAAGACGCATCTGTGTGAGGAAGCACAGTACTCGCCGGGCATTTCTTTGTGTTTTTGCCAGTCTTAGGTTTGCAGCCTTTCTGGACTATCTATCTTGAAGTCTAAAGGGCCCTTTATGGGGTGGGGACTCTTAGATCGCACCACTTCCCATCCTGGCCTGGGTCCCTTCAGCTGGGCTGTGTGCAGGTGGCAAGAGGACCTTTCCCCTTCACCTGCCATTTTTCTTCTTTTCCAGCTTTGAATCTCAGCTCTGCCTTGCAGCTGCATGACTGGCAGCTGTTTATTGACACTGGTGTTGGTGATGTGATTCCAGGTTTACACTCTTAAATTTACTCCCTGCTCTTGCTGGCCCTCAGCACTGTGCTTACCCAAGTGTGCCAATGGCCCCAGGGAGGTGATGTCAGGGCGCGCCCCATCCCCAACCAAAACAATCCCCCTTGATTTGAAAGAGGTCTTTTGTTGCTGAACAGGTAACAAAACCAGCCGGCTCAAAGACACTTCGTTCTTCAGCCTCCCCCCACCCCACCCACTCGAGCTTGCAGCGGACAGGAAGGCTTCAGGCTCTCAGGAGTCGCAGGAGGCAGCCAGGGCTGGGGAGGGCAAGGGGCCGGCCCTTCAGCACTGAGCCGGAAACGTCTGAGCGAGAGATAAAGAACTCAGCAGCCAGAGTATTCAACAGTTTTATTTTGCTGTTGGGGAATGAAGGGAACAGGAAGGAATGACACGGAGGGGAAGGAAGCTGCCGGCTCCCATCACTAAGGGAGGGCACGTGGTACAGAGTGATTTGTGTGAAGCGGCCGCCCCAAGCTGAGCCTGCGGCCGATGACCACAGAAACCCTGGAAGGGAAATCTGTGACCAGAACAACAAAATGCCAAGGAAAACAAAACGCATTTGCATTTGGTATGAATTTCCTGTTTAAATAGGTTTTATCAGCGGGAAGAAAGGAAAAGTGGTGACTTCTAAGTGTCATTGGGCTGGCCTGGGCTCCGCCCCTGGCGGGGTACGGCGGGGGCTGGGCCACACGCCCTGCTGCTGCTCTTTCCTCCCGGGGGCAGCTGCAGCAGCCTCGCGGCTTGTCCGCTTCCTATCTCTTACCCAACAGTCAGGGCTCACTAGCGTCCGCTTCCTATCCCTTACCTAACAGGGCTCACTAGCGTCCGCTTCCTATCCCTTACCTAACAGTCAGGGCTCACTAGCGTCCGCTTCCTATCCCTTACCTAACAGTCAGGGCTCACTAGCGTCCGCTTCCTATCCCTTACCTAACAGTCAGGGCTCACTAGCGTCTGCTTCCTATCCCTTACCTAACAGTCAGGGCTCACTAGCGGAGTCCGGGCCCCCCAGGCTGGCTGCGGAAACGGAATCAGGCAGAACCAGCTGGTATTATCCCAAGGAGCGTGGCTGGGCGGAGCTTCCCCACAGATCTCTGAGTGTGGGGAGGACTGGAGAGGCCTCAGGGCAGTTCTGAGAGGGGGCAGGGCTTACAAGAGGCTGAAGTTGCTCTCTGTGGTGGAGGTCAAAGGGTAAAACCTCAGAGCGAGTCTGCTGCCTGGCCTTCTTGCTTCACGGGCTCAGGCTTCCTCCTCGCCGAAGCCCAAGGCTGCGACGTGTCTGGAATGTTCTGTGTCACAGGAGTGCCTCTGGCAGCGACCTGCATCTCTCACCCTCCTCATCTTCCTTTGCCTCTGAAAAGCTCATGTCATGGTTGTGCAAAAGGAGACCTCCTGATAAAATACCTTCTCAGCCCCGACTTCTCTCAAATGAATTAAAACAAAACTGCCCATTCCACAAATCCACAGGCAAGGAGAGTTGAAAATGAAAATGCATCTTTAAAAAATAATGGACCACTAACTTCATGGGCTCACCTCATAAATCTAAAAACCAAACACATCACCCCAAATCCAAGTAAATTGGCTTGATTTTATCACACAGCAAAGGATTCAGGCTTCTCTCCCCATGTCTGGGCTGGTGGCCTGTGTCATCCATAGGACGTCCCTCCCCCAACCCCATCCCCCGAAGCTTGGCAGGAAACTCGGGGCAGATGGGCAGTGGGGAGCTCTCTGGGCCGTTTCCAGATACCCAGGCCATTTCTCAGAAAGGCTGTCCCCCTGCAGGCACTGAGGGAGGTGGATGGCTCATCAGAGAGGCAAGGTGACAGACCCCATGTGAGGAAGGCCAAGGGCATTTTGTAGTTCAGGCGATGGAGGCACCTTGAATATTTTCTCAATTTGCTTTATAAACAGCAAGTGCTCTTAAGTATCAGTTGATCTAGTTTTCGATCAGCTAAAGAGACCACAGTAATCATATCCTCTCCCTCCTCCCTCTCCCCACCACCCAAATCACTGTCTTACAACAGTGATTCTGGCCAAGGAAATTTGTTAGCAAAATATTTAGGACTAAACTCAGTGTAATGTAAGATTCTGAAGAAGCCAAGTATTCTGTTTTGGCCCTCACCAGCTGCTGCCTGAATTTCCCCATCCTCCAAGACTGTCAAGAATCTGACAGCTCTGCTAACGGAAGCTGCAGACCCTCGGTTCGGTTCCGTCGCCCTTTCTCTGGGCTGGTGTGTGAAGCTCCGAATCTGTGACCTCACTAGAATCAGTGTGCGCAAGGGGATCAGCAATGCAGGGCAAAGGTGACTGGTGAGACACACGCCTACACAAACGCATACAGGTATACAAAAAGCAACAAGAGTTTAATTCTCTTTTTACATGGCCACAGGCTCTCTTCAGTCAGGGGAACTTCAGCTGGTGCCTCTCTCTTGCAGCTGTGAGGCGACAGTGTGGTGACACGCCTCATGCAGACTGTCCCGGTAAACGAGGACAACTCACCATTAAAATCTTGCATGAACAGCCCTGGGCACGTGGGAATGGTAAGAGCCACCGTCTCCTTAGTCAGCTTAACCACAGCTCCAAACGCAGTTTGTCCCAGCTGGCAAACGCCTCAAACACCAATCATGCGTCGTGTTCCTATTCTGGGTTTTTATAAAACACTTTTCTATAGAGATATAGATAGCACAGTAAATGTGCTTATGATGCACTCTAACATAGAGGACAGGAATACACACTGTGGGGCGCCGCCCCAGCCGTCTCCACAGTGGAGAAAGTGCGAGGGTTAAACACGCGTGGTGTGGTGGCAGACGGCAGGAAGTTAGAGCGCCACGCTCCACGCCCTTCCACGCGACTGACTCATCCAACACTCAGAACTCGCCTTCTTTACCCCCTTGGTGGGTAGGAGCAGTAACAAAACAACGTCATTTTTCTAAGGGTGGAGGATGTCAAACTGTCTGGTACCGAGAGAGCAATTCTTATCCAGAAATCATCTAGAAATAATTGCTGAAGGTCAGCCTGGCCCGTGGCCCCAGGCTGAAGGCTGCTCTGTAAAGGGTGGGACTGGCTCTGGGGGGTCTAGGGCTGATGCAGCATCTCTCAGACACTTGTACACTCACACACCCACACGCCCCAGGGCAAAGTGCACTTCCAATGGCTGATACAAAAATAGATTGGCACACCCTTTGACACAAGGAGGTTATCTTCTAAAAGTTTTCCCCCAACTTCTGCAGACTCTCTTCCCCCATAGGCTCAAGCCCTTCACACTCCAAGTTGGAACAGATCTGGAGAAGGCCCTGGACCACGCTTGCAAAGTTTGTGAATGCTGGGGAGAAAGAGCGGGCTGGGGCAGCTGGCGATTCTCGCTAGTGGACAGAGGACAGGGCCTCTCTGTTCTCAGCACGCACCTCCTCTTCCCTTGTTTGAGGAGTCCACAGCTCATGGCTCCTCTTGGCTACACACCCAAGACTCCTTGGAAAGTTCCTAGTACTGCTTCTCCTCAAACCATGTCGAGAGGAAGAAGTCTGGTATTTTGAGTTCTATGTTTTTTCATTTCCAGTAGTAAGTGCTGCTCCACCAAGCTGAGAAGAAACGGTCTTTGGCTCTCCTGGGAGCCGGTGCTAGGAGCTCTGGACCAGGCGTCTGTAGTGGGGCATGACTTCGTGCTCTGGCAAGTGGAGGGCGAATTCCAAGGCCACTAACACTGGGAATTCAAAGGCAATCAGTTCTCGCCTGTTCAGCCGGAACTTCTCTTCCAGTTTCTGCAACAAAATGAAAGAAAATCAAAAGCATGTTCGTTTTGAAATGAAAATCCTAGTCTTTCTGCAACTGCAGCTTCTCTATCCCCCAGCCAGGGAGTGCTTAGGAGAAATCCACTTTGGTGAAAGTTCTGTGGAGGAAGAAAGGGAGGCATGGGCTGTGCTTCCTGCCTTCAGTCCTGGTTGTGAAGGAACCACGCCTTTTCCGGGGGCCGCCCGGAACCACACATACATCTTATGACATCATTTCATCCTCTCAGTAATATGACATGGCTCATGCTCCGTATCTCTATTTCACAGATGAGAAAACAGGCTCCAAGAAGTCAGAGAGCTTAGCCAGGGTCACGTGGGCAGCAAATTACAGCACTAAGATTCCATTCTAACTGGGACTCAAACTCTACCTGTGACAACTAAGTGATTCAGGTTTAAAGACTGAAAATAAAGCAAACCGGTGGTGGTTCACGCCTGTCATCCCAGCACCTTGGGAGGCCGAGGTGGGTGGATCACTTCAGGTCAGGAGTTTGAGACCAGCCTGGCCAACATGGTGAAACCCGGTCTCTACTAAAAATGACAAAAATTAGCCGGGCATGATGGTGGGCGCCTATGATCCCAGCTCCTCCGGAGGCTGAGGCAGGAGACTCACTTGAACCCGGGAGGTGAAGGTTGCAGTGAGTCAAGATCATGCCAGTGAACTCCAGCCTGGGCAACAAAGCAAGATGCTGTTTCAAAAAATAAATAAAATAAAACAATAAAATAAAGCAAACCGCCCACGACAATAAAAACCATGTGGTAAGTTCAGAAGGGAGTGCACCGATTCTACGTAGTTCAGTCCATTCCTCTTACAAGGATCGACCTCCTCGGGAAGTCCCCACTTTCACAGTGCCACTGAGCCTGGTGGCATCCTGCATGTCCACCCAACTGCAGGGGCTGCTGGAGCTGGAAAAGGAGGAGAACCACCAAGGTGGGGATGGGCAGGGAGGGCCTCTGTTTGCTCAGGCACATTCTGCCTTGGCGTAAAACCAGCTTTTGTCTTACTAAAGCAAATTCTACGCACGGAGCAGATGTTGATTGCTTTCAGATCATAACTGGGATAAGCTCTTGAGTTAGGTTTCTTGCTACTGTAAGTGGCTGGTCAAACCATTACTGTTATATTCTGCATCAATAGTGAGGAAGGCCTCACCCCATGTAAGGAAGGCCAAGGGCATTTTGTAGTTCAGGCGATGGAGGCACTGTGAATAAGGTAAAGTTGTCAGCTTCTGCTGTGTGGTATATTGCTCAAGTATGATTAAATGTGCATATTATTTATAATTTTATAAATATTTGTTACATCTAAAGATTCGTTAGTTCTTGGCCAGACAAGATTATAATGACTCATGTCTATAATCCCAGTACTTTGGGAGGTTGAGGTGAAAGGGTAGCTGGAGGCCAGGAGTTCACGACTAGCCTGGGCAATACAGCGAGACCTGGTCTCTATAAAAAATAAAGAACATTAGCCAGGTGCCGTGGTGCATGCCTGTAGTTCCAGTTACTTGGGAGGCCAAGGTGGGAGGACTGCTTGAGTCTGGGAGGTGGAGGCTGCAGTGAGCTATGATTGTGCCACTGCACTCCAGCCTGGGTGACCGAGTGAGACCCTGTCTCAAAAAACAAACAAACAGAAATCATGAGTTCAGCAGGTATCTGTCTCAGCCTACTGATTCTCAGCTGAGTTGGTCCAATGTCACTTCTAGGTTCCTGTATTTACTGGATAAGCTAGATGATTTTGTACCATTTCTTAAAATCTGTAAAGCACTGACCTAAAGTATACTCTTTTCAACTGGGGAGTACCTACCTTAGTGCCCTTTTGCCTTTGCCACTGAAGACAGCTAGACAGTGAGACATATGGGGTATTGACTAAACCATGTCTTTTATTTTCTGTATTCTGATGCTTTGACATCTGGGGCCTTGCTGACTCCGGAGGGACTGCCCTTCCCAGGGCTAGCCAAATCCTCCACAGTGACCCCTTTTGCTTTTGGAATGCAAGCCAACCAATCCAGAGGCCACGTTCGCACCACCTCCTCCATGGGCCTCACACTCCGGGCCACTATCCACCTGCCCTTATCACCCCAGAGCCAGGCACCAGACAATTAGGGACAGACGCTAAGCCAGAGCCCATCAAAACTATTCAAACTAGCCAATCCCAGACCCACGGACCCTGCCTTACCTATTCCTTTCTGTGAAAACCAGTCAAGACTCCCTCTGCCTCCTGGCCAATCCCAGGGCTTCCATGCACAGCTCCCACAGCATGGCATGCCCCTTGTCACGGGCTGAATGCTTGTGTCCCCCCAAATTCCTATGTGGATGCCCTAATACTTCACGTGATAGTATTAGGAGGTGGGGCCTCTGGGAGTAATTAGGTCTAGACGAGCTCCTGGCCATGGAGTGAAGGGATTCAGAGCCTTAGGAGAAGAAACCAGAGGGCTTGCTTATGTCTCTCTCTGCAGTTAAGGATAGGCAAGCGAGCAAGGGGAGGAACCTCACCAGAACCAAAGCAACTGGTCCCTTGACCCTGGACTTCCCAGTCTGCAAAACTATGAGAAATAAATCTGTCATTTCAGCCATCCAGCCTATGGCATTTTGTTATGGCAGCATCAGCCAAGATACTCCTTCTCGCTGGGCACGGTGGCTCAAGTCTGTAATCCCAGCACTTTGGGAGGTCGAGACGGGCGGATCACGAGGTCAGGAGATCGAGACCATCCTGACTAACACGGTGAAACCTCCTCTCTACTAAAAAAATACAAAAAACTAGCCGGGCGAGGTGGCGGGCGCCTGTAGTCCCAGCTACTCGGGAGGCTGAGGCAGGAGAATGGTGTAAACCCGGGAGGCGGAGCTTGCAGTGAGCTGAGATCCGGCCACTGCACTCCAGCCTGGGCAACACAGCGAGACTCCGTCTCAAAAAAAAAAAAAAAAATACTCCTCTTAGGAGCTGTCAGCTGTCACACACTATCTTCTCAATGGATCTGTCTTCTGATCAGCTGGCTTTACTGTACCTCAAATTTTCTATTAATACATTGAATTCTAAAATAGGCATTCATGTAGCCATCCAAGGAGATCGATGTTTCCTTGCTTTGGTAGGGCTCTCCTTTAAAAGAAAAGAGGTACCAGCCTGTCAAACTCACGCCTGTCCCCAGAGAGGAGCCAGCCACGGAATTAGGCAGCCAAGGTCTTACTGAAGCAACCTGTTTGACATTAGATGCTCTGTGGGTCACACTGCCTGAGGGAATCCCTCGCAGGTGCAGTGGCTTCTATGGCTGTGGGAATGACTGCATCTCTCAGGGTGTCTGAGAATGGATTTTGAGGGCCAGACCCAATGCCCAATGCTGAGGAGCTTTGGTCTTCTCCAAGTAGATCATCCCTATGTTCTAAGATAGCCTGACTATTCCCACTACGGGAAAGACCTCACAGCCTTCACCTCAGTTGCTCACTAAGGATCAGAATCCTTCCAGGCGGGGTTCCGGACCGGAGCGAGTGCTCCTCCAGCCACCAGGACAAAGGCCACTTACATCAATTAAATGCTTGACTTCGTGTTTTTTGAGGTCACTTCCAATTTTGGCTGCTAACAGCACACACGCCCCAGCACACAGCTTCCGGTTCTGTTTGTTGAGCTTCCCCTTGAGGGCGAGCTTTTCGAAGTAGACGAAGGCCATGGCCACCGTGGGCTCCTCAAGGCCACAGTCCTCCTGCGCCAGCTTCCGCATCTCTCGTTTCAGACTGGAGAAAGACAGGCGGAAGGGAACAGTCTTGTGAAAACTTGAGAGTTTTAGGGGACCCCAAAGGAAAAGACTCCCCCATCTTGAAAGCTTTTCTCTTTCTCTTTCCCAGAGGGTGGCCTGGACTGGGATTAAGTCCCTGGGAGTGTGAGGGCTGCATTATGCATGGGGAGCAGACTTACAGAGCTGGGCTTTGGACTTTTCTCTGTTGGTCAGGTCGTATAGAACATGTTTACGTTTTTCTTTCTTTTTTTTTTTT